GGGGTGATGTCATCGCGAAGCAGCCGTACATCGGCGCTTGAATGGAAAAATTGAAAAAAATATCGCGTCGGCAATAATCCCTACCACATTGCAATTTTGCAACGCTAATACATATTTTAAATATGTTTAATACGTTCAGTATTGCATCGACCACTTGTGTGAAAGATTCATATAAAATGTAACCTACTGAAGGAAGCCTCATGAATTATTACGTTCCGCTTCAAGATGCTGATGAAACTTCACCGTGTAAGAAGAAGAAATGTAACAAGTAAGTTTTAATTAACTTAAAGAATTTTTTATACTTTATGTATGAATAAAAACTGTGTAATAGATATGCACAGTCTGCAAAACTTAAATCTTTCTCTCGACATACTCTGCTTAAGATGTAGAAAAGTGATGAGGTAGATGAGATGTGATACTTCAGTTAGAAGGAGACAAAAGAACCCTAGAAACGGTGAATATAAAAAGTATTATTTTGTGCAATAATTAAGAGAGAGAAATACATTTCTCAATAAATTCTATCTCGCGCTGTCTCTCTCTCTCTCCCACATGCATGCGAACGTCATCCTTTTCCCACGCCAATGCGGACGCTATCCTTTTCCCCCCTCTCCGCGGACCCCTCGCCTACCGGTTAGGACGCGGTCCCCCTCCCCCCTCTCCGCGGACCGCTCGCCAATCGGTTAGGACGCGATTCCCCCGCGTGACGTCATACCCCCCGCGCCGGTTTTCCCTCGCCCCTCACCCCCCTCAGAGGACCTGGGTTAGAACTCTCATTGCTATACTACTCTCGCGTATCGAGTTTATCGGCGTTGGTTCCCGTCCGAGATTTAGAAGCGCCGGTGACGTGCCGGTAGATGAATGGTGAGCGGTGTTATACGCAAATCGAAAATCTCGCAAATGCTCATCCCATTCTCTATGATCTTTCTCTAAAAAGGCAACTATCATGGTCTTTAAAACCCGATTGACGCGTTCTACTGGGTTAGCCTGCGGATGGTATGGCGGAATCGTCGTGTGGGTTATCCCGTGTTTTTCCGAGAACGCTCGCAACGTCTGATTCGCGTATTCCGTGCCGTTATCCGTCAGCAAAAATCTTGGCGTACCCCAACGCGAGATGACTTCTCTCAAAGCCTCACAAATTTTCTTGCCGTTAGCGGCCCTTAATGCAAAGCATTCCATCCACTTGGTGAATAGATCTTGTACTACTAAAACATACGCAAAACCAGCCTTGCTTTTCGGAAACGGACCCATTATGTCGGCAGCCACTATGGTCCATGGGCGCTCCACGACGCGGTGACCCATGAGACCCGCCGGGTTGGCTTGCTCGACCTTGGTACGCTGACAGACGTCGCACTGCCTAACGTACTTCGCGGCATCCTGAAACATGCTCGGCCAGTAGTACGCGACCGCCAGTCGGTGGAACGTCTTCTCCACCCCTAAATGTCCCGACTGCGGTGTGTCGTGCGCCTCTCTAAGCGCTGTTTCCCTCAATTCTTTTGGTAGTATCAATTTCCATCGGTCTAAGTCCTCCACCATATCCGATACAATCGCTTTGGGCCTGAAATAATATAATTGATTATCTACTATTCGCCAATCGGTAAAGCGTCGAGGTCCATTCGCGACCTCTCCGCTTACGATACCACGCGTCGGTCGTATTTGCGATAATATCCGCCTCTACGGCAACCATTATTTTCACCACGGTGTCACTCTCATACATACGTGATAACGCATCCGGTACGTGATGCAGTGCACTTTTACGATGGATAATTTTATAATCGTACTCTAGGAGTTCTAGAGCCCATCTCGCGAGTCTGCCTGTTGGATTTTTAAGATTATGTAGCCAACGTAAGCTACTGTGGTCTGTCACGACCGTAAATTTATATCCCTCTAAATATGGTCTAAATTTTTTTATTGCCCATACTACCGCCAAACATTCTTACTTGGTAACTGAGTACTTTTTCTCGGGATCTGCTAAAGCTCGACTCGCGAAAGCTACGACGTGTTCGGTTCCCTCTACCTTTTGGGTCAACACGGCTCCTATTCCTACCGAACTTGCGTCTGTCTGCAAAACAAACGGAATGTTAAAATCCGGACACGACAACGTAGGTGCGGTAACTAAGTGCGAACGAATTTGCTCGAAAGCGCGACACTGCGCATCCCCCCACTCCCAGCACTGATCCTTTTTCAAAAGCCGGGTTATCGGTTCGCTAACTGTTGCGAACTGTGGTATAAACCGACGATACCAAGACGACATGCCCAAAAATCTACGTACTTGCTTGATATTGCGCGGAGCCGGATAGTCTAGTATTGGTTGAACCTTGTCCATATCCACCGTAAGCCCGTCTCGTTGTACGATAAATCCAAGATATCGAACTTGTGAGCGACAAAACTCACATTTCTCCGGATTTATCGTGAGACCGGCAACAAAGATTTTCGTTAGCACGCGCTCTAGCCATTCTAAATGTTTTTCGAAAGTTGGTCCGATTATTTTATCTAATAAGCGCTGGAAGGTCGCGGGCGCTCCCGTTAATCCGTATGGCATCCGCGTGAAGTGATATAAGCCTTTTCCTGGGACGCTAAAGACTGTGATCTCCCGACTTCCTTTTGCCAGGAGTATTTGAAAGTACGCCTGACTCAAGTCGATCGTGGAAATATACCGGGCGGACCGTAATTTGTCTAGGATACCGTTCATATTTGGTAACGGGTACGCGTCCTTCTTTGAAACGCTATTCACTTTTCGAAAGTCTAAGCAAAATCTGTATTTCCCATTCGGCTTTTTCACCATCACGATCGGATTCGACCATTCACTATACGAAGGTTCTATAATACCGGCACCTAACATCTTATCGACTTCATTATGAATCGCTTCCTGTACTTTAGGCGAAACTAAATAACATCTTTGTTTTATAGGGCGATTCGTACCGACATCTATTTCATGTTCCGTTAGAGAAGTAACACCGGGGTTAATTACCGTTTCCGGTATTCTACTTTTCAAAAAATTCTCCAATCGTTCGGTCTGTGAGGGCGTTAAATCAGAGAATCCACTGCACACTGTCGGTGTTTCGCTCCGTGATTCAAAATTATACCTCACCGCGGGCTCCTTCGCAAAGTACCATTCGGTCGTCGCGAAATCTAGTCCAATACCGAATTCGCACAAAAAATCTATCCCCACGATACACGAGACTGCCAAATCCGGCAACAAACAAGTCGAAATTAGGCGACTCTGATTTTTCAACGCGAACGAGACCTCCGCCTCCTCCCGTACTTCCGCCAGTTGTCCGTTGGCCGTGCGAATCCGCGTAACATAATTTTTACGCGTCGGCACCCCTAATTGCCGTAGTATTCGTATGCCATCGGCCCCAAGGATCGTTCGATTCGATCCCGAATCGACTAACGCTCGTAACGGTTCCCCGTGTATAAAGATCTCGAAATAGCAAAGTGACGGCAACTCTAAAAACTTTACGAGATTAAGCGCAGTATACGAGAGACTGGAGGCGTCCCGGCCTTCGAGCGCAACGGGGCCCCCCTTTAAGATTTCCGGAGTCGTTGGCGCCCGTTTTATCGACTCCCTTTCTTGTTTCCCGCACACGCCGGACACGTCCGTACGGTAACGCTCGGTTTCCCACACCGATAGCAATGAACGCGTTTTCTTTCTTCGCATTCCCTCGCGAAATGCCCGCTCTTTCCGCAGTTCCAGCACTTAGTGTTCGAACCGGGGTTGGAGGAATTGGCGGACCTGACCTTTGTTGACGAGCTCGGTGGAATCGCAGCGGCAACTGAAGTAGTGGCGGGCGCGTTGGTTCTTCCCCGCGCTCAATTTTTCGCGCCATTTTCTATTTTCGGCGTTGTCTCGTTCAATACCGCAGCTACTGTAGCAATCGGGTTTTTGTGAGTTTTACGCGGCGGACGATACGCGAGATCCGGGAAAATCGACTGTTCCGGCGGTGGTGGCGCTCGATATTGGTTTACCGCCTCATAACTACGTTCCACTCGTGAGGCTAAGTTCTCTAAAGAATGGAAATCGTATATATTGCGTCGGTGTATAGCAATTTGTAAACGCGGCAGCATATTACGATGTGCGTAATTTAACTGTTCATCCAGACTCCACGGGGGTCTCGATCGCGCAAACAAAGCTCTCATGCAGGTTAAAAAGTCCGCAATAGGCTCGTGATCCCCCTGCGTGCGGCGCATGATCTCATCTCGCAACGCGAACTGGAAGTCCGGATTACCAAATCGCGTTCGCCACGCCGACTCAAAATCCCGCCAATTACGCCACTGTCCGCGCTCGTTACGATACCAATACAGTGCGATGCCTGTTAAGAAAAACGGGATGCACTTGAATATTTCGTTGTCATTAACGGGAACTAACGCGCGTCCCTCCTCTATTCGTGTGAGGAACGCTTCCGCGTCGCTACCGCGCGCACCCGAAAATTGTAAATTCCACCGACGCATCAGCTGATACGCGTCGAGGGCCGACGAGGTAGAGCGCGCGGGGCCTCGCGCCTCGGCCCCGCGGGGCGGCAGATCCACCCGCGGCGGCCGGAGGCGCGCCCCCTTCCTACCGGCCTCCTCATCGTCAACCAACCTAAAGCCCATCTCGACGGGGCTATCGGGTCGCGCCGACGCTTCTTCGCCCGGGCCCGGTAACTCGAAGGGGCCCTTCTTAGGCGTAGGGGCACGGGGAAGATCAGCCCCCCGCAACGCGTCACTCTCGAATACAATTAAGCGCGACCGTAATGCGGAGATGGTACCCTCCGGGTCTTGACCACGCTTTTTCAACTCCCGCTGGAGTTGCTCCATTGAAAGTTTATTGACCCATTCGCTTGTGAGCGTATCTACTGAATCCATTCCGAAAATCGCTACGGTTTAGCTATTCAACACGGATAAAAATTTTATCCGAGTATACGCTAATCCCCGAGGGCGCGAACCGCTTAGGCACTCGAAACACACGACAACTATGCAATAATTGGCCGAAAAAAAAAAAAGGAACAAAAACGTACGTCAACTATACGCGGTCACCCAACACGATTCTCGAGCGAACGAATCTCAGAAGCAGCCAAATAACGGAAATTTTCCGTTCTGATATTATTTAATAGTCACACGAAAGCCCAATGTCCGAAATTTCAGATAAATAGTGAGACACATCGTATAAATATCAAACATAATAAAATAAGCAAGATAAATGTGATCGGCAATGTCGAGCAAACACAATCAATTTCTATTCAAAGGATTATTATCTGTATTATTCTTAGGCACAGGCGTACAGATCTCAAAACATCAACACCGCGAATCGTATAAGGTGAATATTATTTTCAAAAGAAAGCTGCCACGTAGCCCCGAGAATAAAAGAGATGAAATACGAAAGCCAGAAATAATATTTTTCCTCACACAATTCAAATAAATATTTCATATACTCGTTACTAACGTATTCCAAAGTAATACTAACGTAAGTAATACTAACGTAATACTAACGTATTCTAAATCCGCTCAAATCATTTACGTCCTGTCTTCCTGATCGGCGAAACAAACAAATTCGGTTAATGTGGACGTGTAAATCGAAGGCGCGGCTACATTAAATGGTCCTTTGAGCCGGATCTTGGAAAAACAGATAGTGATTTTGTAATCAGTTCGCGGAGTGCGAGTGAGAACGCTGACACGCTAAG